AAATATCTTGAGGCTTACGCTTCAAAATATCTTGAGGCTTAAACCTCATCTCATGGACAGAAAACACTCAAATACCTAATTGCTCAATTTTAAATATTGGGATGTAATTGTATGAGAAGTGAGTACGTTATTGTCACGCTCCATAATCTAACGAAAAAGAAATCTTAATATTGCATAATGACCCTGCAGCATCGTGGTGCTACCTTACCTAGAACTGTAGCGCTCCCAGGGAGAATTTTCTAACATTAAAGACAAAGACCTTAGCGTCGCAGTGCCACACCCTCCAACAGCGCAGCGCCGCCACATCCCCCAACGTCGTAGTGCTGCAATGCCACATCACAAACCCTCTAACAAAGAAGGCAGTTCCGCAACTACAACGTCCAATAAATTTTCTACTAAACCCATTGTAAATTTTATAAATTCAATTCACAACTTCTTAAGACAATTTGAATATGAAATAATTTAAAAATATTCATAGAAACCTAATAGATACATAATAAAATTGTAAACCTTATCAGATTCTATTTGAGTCAATACAGGTGATCCCATCGCTTTAAGAGCGGTTGTTACTGCTATTTTGAAGGTTCAATGCAATGAAAGCATGTATGCAGTGTGGTGTGAGCATAGGAACAAAGTGAATAATAGCTGGTTTGCAGGCTGTTGGCTCGCGGGAACAAGATTTGTAAAGGGTTGCTTATGGGCCACGAAGAAAGAGTTGAGGCGGATGATTGAAAGATAAATCTGCAGAAGGACCATTTTACGGTGGGTGGTAGTAGCGAGGTGAATATGCATTATAGTGTTAATTAGTGTCACGCTAGGGCACGAGAAAGTGCTTCACGCTAGGGCAGTAGAAAGTGCTTCAAGATTGTTGATGACAGTGAACACTTCAAATAAACATCTCTTTGGATTCAATAATTTCAGATCTAATAACAAAGTGATGGCAAGTGGGGTAAAGGAAGTGGAAATTTAAATAGGTTTTCATACTTTAGTTGTTAAAAGAACAAGATGATATATGGAAAAAATTAGATAGATAAAAGAGAAAGAAATTGAAATGATAAGATAAATGAAAGCCTCCAAGGAAAGGATGGAAGAGGCTGAGAGAAAGAAAGCATGAGTGTTGGCTTAAAAAAAAAATGACACGAATGAATGAATCCCACTTTGCAGCCATAGGATTACATTTCTCTTAAGTCAGATTATAGTTAACTAGATTTCCCTTGAGGATAGTGTCAGTGTTTAAAGATCTGGGGTCCTTCCCATAAGCGCAAGCACTCATAGTTAATTACCCCTCTTAACACGTAAGAGAGAACTCTCGATTAAGGATGAATAAATTTTTAGGTCATTTTAGTCTCAATAATGGGGGAAATGGAGGTAAACACGATCAAAATCCCATGGTTCCGTCGTCCTGGATATACCGTAGATTTCAGTCTACCAACACTAACAATCATTGACCGTAGTGTACAGGAAATCTGATTAACAGCCATGAGTTGCCTCCTCTCAGGGATCCCGAGTAGACTGAAGTGATTAGATGTGGATTTTAATTTTGTTAGGTGTTTTGGGGTTTACATCTATTAAAATTCCCAGAGATTTATTTAATTTCGGATTTATGACTTCGTTTAGAAGTAACCCAGGAATTTGGTTTGGAGCGAGTCTTATGGCTTCTTTAGGAAGTAGCCCATGTATTTAGATTTGAGTTGAGACTTACGGCTTTCGTAGAAAGTAGCCCAACGAACTGATTTGGAATGAGGCTTACTATTCTATTTATGAGTTTTCCAATGATGGGTCTTACAACCTAACTCTATAGCAAGACAGCCTAAAAATTTAATTATTTGGGTAGGTCTTATGACTTCCCTTAGGAAGTAGCCTGAAAAGCGGGTCTTACAACTTAATCTTTTTAGACTAAGATGCCCATAGATTTAAATTTAATATCTTGGGGTTTAGGATCATCGCTATTTACTTAACATGAGACTTAAGACTTTACTTAGAAGTAGCTTGTTGGTCGGTCTTACAACCTAATCATATATGCTAGGATGCCTGATGGCTTTAATTACTTGGGTAGGACATCCTATGATAGAAATTCTACATGCTTTCAACATAGGAATTATAATTATTATATTTCAAAGCATTATTTAAAGATGAAATTCTTTATTGAAACTTTTGCCTAAATTTTGTTTTTATTAAGAGTTGTCCGTATGATTAGATTTGGATTGGGACTTATGACTTTCATTAGAAAGTAGCCCAGGTTAGTGGGACTTACAACCTTTATTAAGGGTAGCCCGAATATTTCAGTTGGATAGGTCTTAATGCTTCCTTAGAAGTTGTCTAATGATGGGTTTTACGGCCTAGCCTTGTAAGCTAAGTGGCCCAAGTGATGGGTCTTACAACCAAGCCCTATAGACTAGGATGTCCAAATGAGGGGTCTAGGGTTGTATTATCACCTAAACATTTTTCTCAGAGGCCGGACTTACGACTTCTATTAGAAGTGGCCGAGGGTTTTAATTGGGGGTTAGGAGTTAGGTCAATTTTGCCTAAAACTTTCTCCTAAGATCGGGCTTACTGCTTTTCTTTGAAAGTTGCCGGGTAGTGGGTCTTACAACTAAATTCTTATAAACAAGGTTGCCCAAATGATTTTAAATTTTGATTGTGTTTGTTGAGTTGACACCAGTATTTTGAGAAGTTTGACACTATTTTTTTTTTGTTTTCAGTACTTTGTTACACTAGTGTTTTTTTACTATAGTGCTTTTCTTGTTACTGTTTAGCAGCTTCTTTTCATTACCTGCATACTAGTAATGTTTTTACCAGTAACCTGCTTATTTTCCTATTTTAGCATTTAATTTGATATAAATTTATGTGTGATGTTTAATGAATTTCATTTATTTGCTTGCAGGAGCTCGTACTGGAGAGGTGAAGCTTTGTTCAGGAATACTGGAGAACTTGTGGTTCGTTGAATTGTGAGGAGTTGTTGAGTTGAAAAGTTTGAGAGATGTTCTATTTAGAGAGTTTGAGAGCTTTTGTTCTATTTAGAGAGTTTGAAAGCTTTTGTTTTGGAGAGGTTGTACAATTTTTTGTTTTGGAGAGGTTGTAAAATTTGCTTAAGAGTTGTTATTTTGAGAGTATTTTGGAGAGTTTGAGAGCTTGAGAGTTGATTTAGAGAGTATTGTACATGTCAATTAGTGGAAAAATATTCTCCACCTTCATTTTATTTATTGCATTTTTTATTTTTGATTAATTGATTGAATTAAAAAAAAGTCTCAAATTTTTTAAATAATAGCTCTTCGGATTTTGTTTTAAAAAAAATCAATTTAATTAATCAAAATTAATTAATTTTGACTTAATGAATTTCAATTAATCAAATTAAATAATTTAATTACTCAATTTTAATTGAGGTGAAGTAATTTGACTAATTAGATTTGACTTGCTCCCCAATTATTTTAAGAAGAAAAAGTTCTTATAATTTCCTGAAAAATTTCGGCAGCCTCCCAACGTCTCCTCCCCACCGAGGGAGAAATCGGCACGACACTGCCATAATTTCTTCCTACCCGGACCTAAGGTCGACGGTGTAGGGTCTTCAATTTTGAACCATCACACTAGGATCTAAGATCGATTATGTGAGATCTTCGAATTTTGTTTCATCCCACCCAGATCTAAGATCAATGGCGTGGGGGCTTCGAATTTAAAACCATCCGCCCGGATCTAAGATTACGGCGCGGGTATTCGAATTTAAAACCATCACGGCCGGACCTATGGTACGACAGTTCGCGGTCTTCGACACCTGTTTGAAATTCCATCTTTTATTTTTTCTTTTTTTTTCTTCCTTTCCTTCTTCTTTCTTTTTATAATATATATATAATATTATATTATTTTTAATATAATACGCATACAATCTCTTCGCCTCCCGCGAAGAAATGAATTTGAACAGCAACGACGGAAAGAGAAGATGAAAAGCGAACTCTAAACCGCTCTCTTCTTTACTTCCCGTCGAACAGATGTATATCGAGAATCAATGCCAATGCGCGGTCTATGGGGAGATTTTCTACAGTGTGGGAAGTTAGAGGAGCGAATGAGTGCGTCGTTTGGAGAGATCGCACATGGTGGGGCAGGCATGGAGGCAGTTTCGTTCTTTGCATCATAGGGAGAATCAATTCTTATGAGGGAAACCAAAAGAAAAAAAAAATATTTATTCCATTTTAAACCATCTAAATTACAAGATCTGGGACGTTACTTAGAAATAAGACTTATTGAAAAGGAAAAAACTATTCCTAAATAGACAATAACATATCAAATTGGTCCTAAATAACAAATGATATTTAAACCACTAATAATTAACTTAAATACAATTAAGGATGGCCACAAGATTCATCAAATGATATTAAACAGAGACTTAGCAGTAAGGATTGAAATAAACTTGCATTGCATTGCAGCGTGAAAACCTCCATTTAATTATTGAGCTTTAGTGCCAATGCTCAACCAAAACCCCATTCAATCAAAACAGAAGGATATAATCATGGACTATAATATTCATATTATTTATAAATTGATGGCCAAATAAAACGGAAATTTGAGCAAAACAAGCAACCATTGCTCCTGGCTACTAAAATCATCGTGCAATCTTCAATCCTTTCTTAAGTAGACTTGCCAATGCTCAACTACAATCGACCTAAAGAACCTCAAATCACATGGAAATCATTGATATTCATATTATTTCCAGCATATGATACTTGAACAAAATGTAATATTTGAGTGCAACAAGGAACCGCAGTTCCACATGCTAAAACATCATTTAACAATCAAGCTTTTGGTTCTATCATTCTATGTAGGCATGCCAATGCTTTACCAAAAAGCCAAAACAACCAAAATAAAAGCTTATCATGGCATAGTTCAATATTCATATTATTTCTAAGAGATACTTGTAAGAAATGAAATATTTGCTGTAACCGCTATTTATCATCACCATGATGCAATATTGAGATGGCACAATTAAAAAGTCTACACTATGTTCTTACTCGTAGGTATTATCTACAACAAGCCATGCTCCAACACTTTTACAGAGATCTGAAATTCTCTGAAAAGAACATGGTATAATTAAGCAATTGGATAGCAAGAATATAAAACACAGCATGCATGAGAAAGAGAGGAAGGAGACTAAGGAGAGACGAATGCAAATACCTGAAGGAGTGGCGGTGGGATATAACTCCCAGTAGGGTTGCCTGGATTGACCACTGTAACAAGCTTCGGAACTGATTTAGTTTCTTTCTCTGAAAGCAACTTCTCCAACCATTCTGCATCACACGGAAGCATCAAAAAAATAATATATAAAATCTGTTGATTACAATACAAAGCCGGGTTACATTTATGACATCTACTGATCGTCAAAAACAGAGAGGGAATGGAAATGCCAAAACCCATTATGTGAAGTGAATGATGATGCTTCCAGTACCTCTTCGATTTCTAATTTTCTATCTTCTAAGAAATAATATAGTTTACTAGAGCAGGCCACTCCTTTTCCCAGACTTCTCCAACTACGATACAAATTCCTAGTCTAACTCACAGCTTCATCTATATACTCTGTATGAACTTGAGAGAAAATTCATTTCAAATTTAATAATAATATTGCGAGTGACCATTCAAACTTCTTCAATTATAGATTGTGCTTCCCTTTTGTGACAGAAACATTAAAGATTTAAGTAACAGCAATCTGAGCAAATAAATTTAAGTAAAGCAAAAGATCAATCAATCCTTTTAATACCAATAATGTATTGACTGTTAACCGTGGTATTTTGAAGCATTTAACAGAAAAGGAATAGGACGAAGAGTAAGCATATTATGGAAGTAGCATTGCTTTCTTAAAGATACTCGAGGATAATTAAGCTTAGTGGTTCAAGCACCATTACCATTGAGGATAAAGTATACAAACTCACCTACATCAGGATGTAGTGTATTTTTATTGCTTGGACCAATCAGTATGTTGTTAATGCCAGTCATCTGAAATGACATGTAAGCATTGAAGTAATATGGTGCGAACATAACAACAGAGTCCCCAGGATCACATAATGTAAGGACAAGATTCACAAATGCCTGTGAAAATCAAACACTAATAGCAGATTCAGCTGAAAATAATTGAAAGAAATATGGAACTACAAACGACACTACAAACATAAAGAATCAGAATGTCACTGAGCAATTCATATGTAAAAATCATGGGAAACTACTAAAACGGAACATTCAACTATTCCAAAGTTCGAAAAAGAATATAATCTGCCTTCATAATAGATATATCCTTGTAAAAATAAAAGAACTAATTTATCCATAGCCTCCCAAACATTGGAGTCAAAATTTGAGTTTATACGATCTCCATGCACCAGATATGACAAAGCAATGACACTTATATGTCTTATCTATTAAATCGCTTCAAGATGCATAAAGATCATTGACCTCTAAGTAAGTAAACAGTTATCTAACCCGAAATTGGGTTGGATTCCGATGCAGCTGGCAGCAAACCAGTTGCTAAAGAGGGCATAAATTCAGCTATCCAGGTGGGGCCAGGATCTCCTTTATCACCTATAGGAGAAGAAGCTTTGGGAGGAACTCATTGGGAAAGATGTAAGGGGCATTTATTAGGAAATTTGGGCGGTTTACGTGGGTTAGGGTTTATGTTATGTTATGTTTTAAATTTTTGCAGTAGATTTTGTAAGGTGTTGGGGTTCCTAGTAGCTGCTAGGAATTGTGGGAGAGAAGATTCACCCCTCGAACAGTGAATCAACTTATAACTTGTCTTACTTTGTTTGAGAATTTTTAAAAAAAACTCGCTTGGAGTTATTCCTGGATCTAATTGGAGTAAATTGTTGTTTTTTTATATTATTGTGTTGTTTTGATTGATCTATCAAATCGGTATCATAGCAAGATTCATAACCTATGGCGCCAAAGAAAATGGATGCTTTGGAAGAGAAACTAGAAGGAGAAGTTGGTCAATTAAAGTCTGAAGTTGAGGAAAAGATTTTATCCATGGAAGGAAGGTTTTCTAATCTAGAAGACATGGTGAAGAAAATATTGGAGATTCACAATCAATTAGCAACATCAGAGGCGAGAGCATCGGCGAGTGGCCAAGAAAGTGGGGAAAACCTCAATATCGGCACAATGAGGGATGATCGAGAGGTAGAAATCTTGGGTGATAGGGAAAATATGCCACCTCTTGAACCGATAACTAGGAGTGAAATGGGTGAAGGATATAGCATAATAAGAAATTTTGAGGTAGAAATAATGAGATATGATTTTGAGGAAGAGGATATCTATGAAAGGAGGGGTGGGAGAGAACAATGGAGAAATTACAACAATCGCTACATAGGAGGAGCTAGAGGTGGAAGAGTAAGTTGGGGCAGAGGAAATCCGAGAGCGAGAAAGATAAAGATGCCCGTTTTTAGTGGAAATGGGTAGATCAGTACGATGGAGAGATACTTTGCCGTGAATGGGCTGACAGAGGAGGAGAAACTTATGGCGCCAGCTTAATGCTTGAAGGGAAAGGCCTTGTCTTGTTATCAGTGGAGAGACATGTGAGAACCAATCCAATCGTGGAGGGAGTTCAAAAATAATTTATTAGAACGTTTCTAAACCAGTCGAGATAGAGACTTCAATAAGCAATTCATTGCTCTGGCTCAAGAAGGGATAGTGATGGATTATCAGGTGAGGTTTGAGTACCTTTCTAGCCAATTTATGACCTGGCCCATTCAACTAAATCGTCCACCCTAACTATAGTCGCACGAACAGGCAGAGACAGAGCTGCGTCTGAGCGGGCTGAATGCGAGTCAAACCGGGGCTAGGGAGTTATGAATTTTATTTTGAGAGAAGGTTTGAGTTCACGAATAAAATCAGAAGACTCCTCACAAAAAATAACTCCCTCCTCTTTGCTCTTTATTGCAAAGGAAGCAAAACTCGAGAGAGGAGGCAGTGAACGAGAGAAAAAAGAAGGACGGTTTGCTTATTGATTTTTGTCCATTTATGTATAAATCCTTCCATGTTACTTCATCTAAACAGCGAGGAATGTTTAATTAAAGGTAAATGAAGAGATTGGGAAGAGGAACAAGAAAAAAATTTGAGAGGAAAGGGGAGGAAATTAGAAGAACGTCGCTAAGGTATTCTGATTTAATTTTATTTAAAGTAAGAGTAAATTAATTCTCGAATCATAGAGATTCATCGTTGATTTATTTAAATCCTTGTGTAGAAAATTCTTTCAAAATTTCTAATGTTGAATGCACTAAAGAGGAAGAGAAAGAAAACAAGTTTGGAATTTGAAATTTCTTCTATCCTTGATGTCGGAGGAAAGAGCAAGTAATTGATTTATTTATACATGTTAATTTAGATAAAAAGCTTTTGCATTTTTATTTCTCTAATTGGAGGAAATATTATTGTCATATGAAGAGTTTAATTATTGTAAACATTGATTCAATATATAAGAAAAGAAAGCTTTATTGTAAAGAAGAAAGGAAAGAATTAGTGAGAAGGAGAATTAAATATTTGAATTGAGATGGATTTTGGAAGTATTTTCAAGGGTCAAGGATTTGAAGGGAACTGAAGCACGAAGTATCAAAGTGGGTAGTTATAATTATTTTATAGAAATTTCCATATCTTTTATTTTAATAAAATTCTTTTTAATTTAGTATAATCATTATATTATAATATTGTGTTAACTAAATGGATATTGTATAAATAAAATAAATCAAGAAGAATAAAGGAAATGAACATGTGGATTATAGTTATATGGCTATTCTTGATCATTATAACATGCTTATTTATTTGTTATAGTTAAAGGTTTAATATGAAATGATGTTGTGAATATTAAACAACTGAAAGTCATAAAATAATATATATATATAATTGTACATATGGATAACTAAGACATGTGATGGAAAGCTAAAAGTATTAAATAAAGAAAAAAGAATATGCATGTAAATTACAAGAGTCACCCCTATATGGTACTAGCTGGGGAAGCAACATACTCGTGCACGTTAAAAAGAAATGAAAATAGTTGTACCTTCATTGATTCATATTTTAGACGGTGCTCATGTACTAAATAAAAAAGAAATAAATGAGAAAATAAAAGAATGAATGAATAAATGAATGTTAATTGGAAAAAGAAATATGTTATTTTAAAGATGTATTATAAAGATCTATATTATATGAAGTTAGATCTATATTATATGAAGTGAGATATCTACAAATATGTAACTAAAAAAGATAACGAGATGAATATGATGCATGTCTTATTTTATATGCTTAACTGTTGTAAATGAAATGATAATCACCCATTGAGTTTATTTTATAAACTCACTCTATTAAACTAATATTTTCAAGTAAGTCTCTTGATAAGTGAAAAATAGCTGAAAGAAAGGAGTATGTCTACAGAAGATGATGCTCAAATGAAAGTAGGTAAATTCTAGTTCATATAAATAATTAAGATGTTAAGATTGTATTAGTAGTTTATTGAACGTGAATATTAGTGACTCTTCAATTTTTATTTGGAATACATTTGATAAACTGTTTTTGAAGAATAAGAAATGTTATAAACGTCTGAATATTCATTCATGTCTCGTTAATTCGAGTATCTAAACCAGATCGTGATAAAAGTGGTATTAGAGTCCAATTATTATATGAATCATACTGAAAGAGCCATTAGTTGATTATTGAAATTGATTTGATACTGAATTATAAATTTATAAGAAATTTTAATTGTATTTCAGGACCTAGAATGATTCTGAAGAAGATGTATAAATAACAGTGCCTAATGTTGTTGTTAGCCCTGATGCACTGACACAAATGATGACAACAACAACAATTAATTCAAGACTTAAGTAATCAACCATCAGGAAGTAGCAGTGGCAGTAGTATAACTATGGATAAATATTTAAAGTTATTTCAACATATGAGACCACTGCTATTTAAAGGGGTAAATAGACCAATTGAGAAAGAGAACTAGCAACTACAGATTGAGAAGATTTTAAAGGGGATTTTTTGTCCTGAAGAGATAAAAGTTTCATTGATGACTTTTGTACTGGATGGTAAGGCTCAAAGGTGGTGGATGGGTCAACATCAGGATAAATTTGGAGAAGTACCTAGCATTTAGATCAAGTGGGAAGACTTTATTCAAGTGTTCAAAGACTAGTTTGTGCCTCTTTCTACCATGAGGCAAATGCAGTATAAATTTTTAAGATTGGTACAAGGAGATAGATTAGCCATGCAATATGAGGCTGAATTCACCACATTATCCATATATGCTCTTCATTTAGTACATATTATAGAAGAAAAATATCATTGATTCTTATTTGGATTAAAAGATGCAACCCGACAGCCCCTTTTCCTTTAGGATTGAAGATTATACTGTGTTAATGGAGAGAGCTAGAAGGGTAGAAATGGACACATCGGTTTGAATGTAAATGACGACAGAGAATATGTTGTATGTATCTACGAACTATTGCAGAAGGTCTGTAATGTGCACAATAAACATGGCATATCCATAAGTAAACAACAAGGAGCATGTGTTGACAACTTGATAGTAGTCGTGTACTACGATCATAGCATGTCCAAAAAAGAAAAAGCAAGAAGGTGGTAACTTGCCTACGGGAAGATGTGGAAAAGTTGCAGCAAATACTATTGCTTGTAAGCAGCAATAGAAAGTCTAAAACCTCTGCAACTTGTCTACATATGATAGCAGAAGGCCCATGATATGCATAGGCAGATCCACCAAGAACTCAGGGTGGGCAAATGCCCACCCTAAATTTTTTTTTTTTTTAAATTTAGTGGTGATATTTTGGGCATTTTGAACCCCCCCCCCTCAAAAATATTTTTTGCCCTAATTTAATATTTTTTACCCTAATTTTATCAGTCATAAGCATTTTTGCCCATCCCCCACAAAAAAAAATTTTTTTGCCCACCCTGAAAAAAGAAGCTGGATCCGCCCCTGATGATATGCACAACACATCATCTACAAACGAAAATAGCATATTTGCAGTGTGTATAAGTTCCTACGAGTTACTGTAGGAAACATCTTGTTCACACCATAGTCTACCTACGAGCGACAATTGACAACATATAATTAGTATAACAGAACTCTCTGTAAACAAATGCAATGCAGTACATGAAAAACACTAACGTCTGTTGACGATGATGGGTGTCGTAGTATGCACAATAATGCACCTATAGAGGATGGTCAGCAATAAGCAACAAATGATACAACGCCTTTATAGTCAGCAAATATCTAATGGCAAGCAAATACATCGTCCTTTTTGTAAATAAAGATGTACTATGTGTAGCAAATGCAAGCACCTATGAGTTATTATAGGAGGCTCGTTAGTTCAAAATAATATACCTACATAAAGCAACCCAACGCAATGCCACTAAATCCACAACATTCATGCAAGAGGACAAAAGTCGTTTACAAATTCCCAAAAGAAACTCAATGCCACACCACCAACAACACTCATACAAGCAGACAAAAAGTGTGTATAAGCTCCCAAATCGAATGCTGCATTCAAATGACAATTACTCATAAAGCGGATCAAAATTAAATATTCCAAAAATACCCCCACGCATGCACTACAATGTGTATACACAGAAACACAAAGAAATGCAAGCGCAATCGTACACCCGCACAGGCCCCGACAAGCATAGTGTAGGCACATACGTGACATCAGAAGATGTTGCACAGGTTAATAAGTGAAATCAAGTTCGAACCAGATCTTTCTATGCGGGTCAAAAGGAGTCGACATGGTTCGAATCATCAAACAAATATATGATCGCGACGTCGACCGAGATATTTATTTTATACATTCATATTAGGCCTTCAAGGCCTATTATGAAGCAAGTTCATTAACAAAGGCATAAGGCCTACTATGAACCCGATCCTCTGTCAGCAATTAGACAGAGTCGATAATGTTCAACAGATAATTATAAAAATGCCTCCCTAAGTACCCGCATGAGCCCTGACGAGCATGTTATGGATACACACGTGACTTCTGAGGATGCTACGCATGTCTAGAAGTGAACTTAAATTTGAGCCTGATCTGCCTATGTGAATAGATAGGATTCGACATAGCTTAAACCATTAAACAAATATACGGTCGTGACACATACCTGGATATTTTGTTTTATAGTTCATGCTAGACCTTCAAGGCCGATAAATAGAAAAATTCACAGATAAAAGTATAAAAGCTAGCAATGAACTCAATCCTCTGTCAACAATTAGACAAAGTTCACCAGATAATTATAAAAATAACCCCTAAACAATCGCATGGGCCCGGGCTAGCATTTTGTATTTACACACGTGACGTTTGAGAAAGCTGCGTGGATCAAAAAATGAACTTAAGTTCAAGGCCAATCCTTCTCCTTGATAGGACGGGAGTTGACACGATTAGAATCAATGAACACATATATGATCGCAACATCGACCAGGATATTTGATTTTATACGTTTATATTAGGCCTTCAAGACCTATAAATAATGAAAATTAACTAATAATGGCATAAAACCGACAATCAATCTCTGTCGACAGGTAGACAAAGTAGACAAGTTTCAACCCATAAATGAAATTCCCTATAAATATCTCGATGATGATCATTTTGAATGTAGATCTCAACCGGAGGGGTTAATTCCAAATATTTTATATGCTTTCCAAATGCCTAAAAATTCAAAGCTCTAAGAAAGTACCAAATATTAAAATATTTAAAATCAAAATAAACACCATCAAATGCTTAAAGCAAAACCCATCCATCCTCCACAGCAGTTTATTGAGGTGGATAAATTTAAATATCATTTCAGCTCACAAAAAGCTAATGTCTGGTAGAGAATATCACTAGTATTTATTCTCGAATAGTCTCTTGCCAGCATGTATGTGACACGTGTCTTTTAACTAGCGGTTTTGTCGCTAAATGATACCGCAGGTAAACAGTTATGACCAAGGCCTTTTGAACTAGGTGGTTTTGCCACCAAATGGCACTACTAAATTACGGTCATAGCCAAAGCCCGTAAGCTACACAATGACACTAAATCTTTGAGATATGAATCAATATGATATAATCGATAGGGCACAAAGCCCTCTGTCAGCTAAGGTGGATTCAAAATTCCCCTTAGACAAATATTCATTTCAAGTCTATAAGGTACCCTTGGATGATGCAACCCATGGCTACCGATAAGGATTCTTCTGTCAAGTTGGGTCGACTACCTCCTCTGACCAAGTAGACTAGGGACCACGATGACCTGGGACGACAAAATCATAGGATCTTGATCCGGTCCATCATCCATTCCCCTACCATCCACTTTAAGTGCAAGATGATGAAATTTCTAATTTTAAAATATCAAACTTTCAAATAACTAAACCCATGCTGCTACTATGTGCTAGATACCACATATTTCTATGTATTTATGCGATGACTAGCCTTAATCGAAAGTTCTCTCTTGTGATTGAGAGGGATAATTAACTATAGGGGCATGCAACTATAGGAAACCATAACTCAAATCATAAAGTTCTCGCAAAATTAGAGTGAAATCTCTGAGCAATGTCTTATCTACAAACTCAATCTGCCTTTTAAAAATTTACCCCGGAACCTAATTTGTTATAACTCCCTAAAAGCAGTGGGAGGCTGGGACGCAAATTTTTGGAGCCCATAAATCCCAATGCTAATTTTGCTACTATTATAATCTTGGTATGCAGTGTTTATCTAACAACTAATCTTAATCAAAAATTCCCTATGGCACAAGATGAGATAATTAACCATAGGGGTTTGATACACCTGAAATCGGATCATAAAGTCCTCGTTTAATATGGATGAAATCTCTAGGTAATGTCTTATCTTACATCTAATATAACTTTTAAAAATTTGTTCCAAGAACTTCTTAAAACTCTCCCATTGAGAGGCTGGGTCATGAAATTTTAGAGCCCACAAGCCATACAAAGAATGAAAGAAACCTATCGTAAACACAACAACAACATCAAACCTTTATCACACTGAGGGGTCGGCTACATGAATTTTTTTCTCCATCGTGTCCTGTTAAGAGTTAATTTCTCATTTAAATCTAATATATATATATATATATATATATATATATATATATATATAATGTCATTTCTAATATAAAACAGCAATAATTTGTTGACTTATAAAAATTATAATTTTGCAAATTTACAGAACTTTTACTCGGCTAAAATTTCTTTGTAACATTTTAAGAAGTTAAAAGTCAAAACATAGGGTGAACGATGGAAGATGTCTATATTTCTTAGATTTTTAATGTACATCTATCATGCAATATTAAGAAAAATGCAATAAACATGTGCATTTTAGATGGCATAAGCTAATAATCTTAAAAAATTATTCACCACCTCCAATGATAATTTAAAAAATACTGAAATCCAATTCTAACGAAAGGCTAACAAAAATTATAACAGCATAATTGTGGTATATTATTTTATAGATTTAAGCATTCACCCTTCACTGAGACTCAACCATAATTTAATAGGATGCGATCAGATGCCACTGGAAATATTTGTTATCATTGCTTTAACAAAACAATAAAAGCATAGACATCAGAAAAGCTAGATTATTAGGAACTGGAAAATTTACAACTATCAGATCTTTTTTGGATTTTGTACTTTTAAGACTGCTTTAAAAATAAAAAAAAATAAAAAAAAAACAAAGAAAGGTCACCTGGTTGGCACCAGCTGTCACCATAACTGAAGACCTTGTCAATTTGTTTTCCCGACGTAACTTCAATAAAGACACAAGCAAAAGATAAAGATTAGACACCGAACATGATGATGAATAATAGTTTATCTAGATAGTATAATTTAAAGCAAACACTTAAGATAGAATTTCTGAAGGAAAATCCCTAAAATGACAGAACTGAGTAAATCCAGTACTCGGAATCAGATAATATTCACTTGCCATGAAATTTTTAAATAGTTACATCCCATAATTGCAAACAAAGCATGTGTATGGCAAGCAAGAAAAGCGGCGGATAATTTAAATAAGATAACTATTTTGTACAAGTTTCTGAAAAATGAACATTCATAAATCAGTTTAGGACCAATAAGATCCCAAAGACTAATTTTTTATCTACATGACTAGAAATTTTACTTCGCAATGCTATATATAACATGCTTAAAATAAAACGATGTACTCCCTAATGGCATCAGTTGTGCCTTTTTTCAGTAAGATAACAGATAGACCATGAAATTTAATAAGTAAATCATTAAAAAAGAAACGAACTGCATTGCTTGCAATTGTATACCTTCTCAAGCAATGCCAATCTCAATTCTGAAAGTCCTTCATCTGCACCATAATAACTAGTTGAAGGCTCCCATACAATGTCTTGCACCTTCCTCAAAGCCTGCTCGGGAGGTTGCCAGTAAACTACCCCCTGTGAAAAATACGAAGGTTCATTGTGATCCAAAAAAGTCTGAAAACATTTTGTTGCGGGAAGCCAATCTATTTAGTCCTAGTTTTCATCAAAATTTACCAGAGAAAGATAAATTAAATAAAAAGCATGGATAATCACTTTCCTCCCTTGATAACGAAACAAACTTTAAAGAAAAGAAAATCCAACAATGATTTGGTTTGTGGTTCTCATACAGGGGGATGTGCTTCCTTGATTTACAATAGGTGAACATTCCATCAACATATGCGACTCCTCACTGATAAAATCCACGGTTCAAAGGCAACGATAACCAAAATTTGATAAAGAACAACAGAAGAAACCAGCAGCATAAGCAGGATTCCTTGCAACAAGTATGATGGAGAAGAGATTGGATTCAGCTCTAAAAACAAGAAATTCTAGCATTATTGTGGTAATGTGCTTAACAAAGGAAAAAATTAAGTGTTGTTAGTATGAAAATTTGAAATAGATTTATTCAGGGTTTAGGCTAAATCAAGCAAAATTGTTTATTAAGACATTAATCTAACTACCTCCTTAACTACTATTTTCCTCTTGTTTTGGGCTAAATCCCAAATTTGGTAAATCCTAGGATAAGTCAACTTAAACGGATTTAGTGAAACGTCAGAACTGCGAAGCTCGTCAGGTTCCATTACGTGTGGCTGCCCCAATAAATTAAGAGGTAGAAGCTAGCAAAATTGCTTCTAAGGCTACAACTGTTCCATCGAACAGCGCCAAGGGAGAAGAGAGAGCAAAAGTATATGTCACACACGAGCTCGCAAAACAAATTTGGGGGATTTACATACATATCACTTTATATCAGGCTATTTATATATCCAGCACACAAAACTTTAATTTTTCATACTTACCACCCATAGACGACTTTAATATTAAATATGTTACTCTTAAATTTCTCATTCCTACCACCCATACCACCCTATAAAATTTAATATTTCATTCCTTATACACATATTTGATCTATTAGTGGTAGCATGGAATATTAAATTTTTTTATGTTAGATATGTAAATAACATGATATAAATTGGTATGTATGTAAATCCCCCAAGTTTTTAATTGCAGTGAAGGGGGAGAAAGAAAAAAAAATAAGTGCTTTTTCCTCTTTAGTCTAATAATAGAAAAAAAGATTATCCCCTCTAATTTTAACCTATTTTCATTTTGTCTAAAAATTAATTCCTGATTTAAAAGATTAATTAAGTATTGGCTATTTGATTAGCAGATTAATAGCTAATTAATCATTATGATGCTACATAAGATTGATTTGAATTAAATTAGGCTAATTAGTTTTAGATTAAACTAATTAGATATTATTTAATTTAGCATTCATATTTGCTCTCTCTCTCTCTCTCTCTCTCTCTCTCTCTCTCTCTCTCTCTCTCTCTCTTCTCAATTTAGCATTCACATTTGATCTTATTAATCTATTTTAAGTTTTAGTTATATCGCATAATCATTTAAATCCTAAATCTCAAAACAAATAATCAATAAGTTTATCAAAGCTTAGCAGGATTTAATATTTGTCATGCCAAATAATTCTTAGAATTTACTATATCTGAATCTATAAAATTTGCTAAATCTTGCTTGTAGCCAAACAGCCCCTTAATATTAAAAACCAGCAAATTCTCATCAAAGACAGACTCGTTAGAGGAACAACTCAAGCTTGTTCCGATTTTCTCAAATCATGAATAACTAAAATCACTGGAAAGATCAACTAAATCTGTACAGAAAGAAAAAACAATCAAACCTGTGCAAGTGAGATGACATCTTTGGCTCCTCGCATCAATTCTTGGATCTGCAAACATCACCAAAAATTAAGCATAAAACAATTTGCCAATTCCACAAACAGAACAAAACTCATCAACATTACATATTTCTTCCACTCAATATTCACAAATAGAAAAACAAATCCCAACTAACCTGAACCATCACAGGGGTTTCAGTCTCCAGAGCCCTCCTCGAAAGCTTTGCAAAAGTTCCCATCTCAGAAGGGCAGAGTAGAAGGGGGGGAAGAAGAAAGGCCTAATTTTGTTGAAAAATATCACCAATCAAAAAGAGGGATGAAGTTCAACGCCAACCACCTCGGACCAACTAATAGATCGAAAACAAAAACCTTAACAACCACCACTGTTCACCAACTCCCACGAATTTTAACCAAGTTTACTATATTATTGATCTTTTACTGAAGAATAGGAAGCAAAACTCGATTCCCAAGGTATTGACCTCCGACGAATACAGACAAAAAAAATAAGAAAAAAGAAACAATAAAGATTACCTCGAAAGAGAACTAAAAAGCGCCCACAAGTTACCAATTCCAATTAGCTGCTGCTTCTAATTAAAAAAAAGGGTAAGCACCCTCCTTTAGAACTCTGCACCAGATCGGGCAAGCGAAACAAGAGAAGAATCTGGACTATAGGTATTGCTCGATTACTCTTGTGCTCTCTCTCTCTCTTCCTCTTCAGTCAGACGACGGAAATATCCGATTTAATGGCAAGCGAGTTTCAACTTCGTATGTGGATCAGGAACTTTTTTTTCGTCCGGTGTAAAGATGCAGAGGAACATTCGGTTATAGGTAAAATTTTGCCTATACCGAGGTGTACTGAGTTTTTATAGGCAAAATCCCGCCTATACGAGGTGTGCCGAGTTTTTCAAAAAAAAACTTGGTATACCTCGGTATAAGCGGGATTTTGCCTATAACCGGATGTTCTTCTGCATCCGGTCGGAGGACGTAATAATTGTTCGTGGATCAGTGGATGTAAAGTCATTATAAATAAAGTAAATGCAGTTATTTTCAGAAATTTGATGTTTCGTTAGATGAAAAATAAATTTAAAATAAAATAAAATAAAAACAGTTTAATTTTTATTGTCTATATATATATATATATATATATATATATATATATAATTTTGACTTAAGTTATCTAGGTAAATTTTCATCCAAGAAGTTGATTGAGCCTTTTTCTCAGTGCCATCCTCATCTCTGACAATTATCGTTCGTTCGCTAGTAATAATTATGCAACAAAATTTATGCAAAGTATTCAATTTTTATCTCTAGCTAATTGTTCAAGGTTAGCGATGTTAAACATTTAATTATCTAGAATTAAAAATGTCATTTTTATTCTAAACTTAAATCTAAATGAATGTTAGACATCAGAGTAGTCGTTTTGAATATTGATTGAAACTTAGTGTGATCTTGATCGAAATATGTCAGATACTCGTCGAATATTATTATAAGCTTATTTGAGCATTATACAAATTTTCAAATAAAGTTCAAACAATGATTAAAGAAAGTTCGATCATTGTTTAAAAATATTTCAATCAAGGTCCATACTAGATTCGATCAATGCGCGCTAGAATCCTGTTCAAATAAGTTATAGCAAGGTTGATCAAATTTTGATCAAGGTTCGAGCAACATTTGAGCAAAATTCGAGTAAGATTAAATCAAGAGTTGAATATTATTCGAACATAGTATGAACATATTTGAAATTTATTATATTATACTCATTGTCTCTTTTACGACTAACTCATTTAGGTCGTCTTACTAACTAGTGTCAGTTTTCATAATATATATATAGATGTATTATAACATGCTTAAGTCATATATAGAACTATTAGTATGATGAAGGAAATTATTGAATGGTTTGCACCTAATAATATCATTTTATTGAATTAGAGATAATGTCACAATATCTGTCACATATATATCAAAGAAAATGTGGACTTTTTTACCTGACAATTTCATTAGGCAATTTAAAAAAAAAAAAATTTTTGATTATTACTTCGATTTCTAGCTTGGTGTTCATAATTATAAATTAAAACAATGCCTATTATTGACTGATGAGAATAGTTTGAATTCATATCATTTTCAAAAGTACATTTTGTGGAGTCCCAATCATATATTTGGTCATTTTATGGTGATATATATATGTTATAAGATTTAGACAAATTATTGAGTTGCGGATGAGTATTTAAGTACTTTATTGAATGAAAAGAGCATAGATTTATCATAATAAGTATTGAAACATGAGATATATATGAGAGGCAGTTCAATTGTGTTATGTTGTGTTATAAATATTATTATTACATTCAATCGTATCAAAAGTTTTCCCTGCTATGTTATGGTTATTAAGATTATACTCGTGCTGCGATTATAACAATATTGTAACTGCTTTGACTTAATATAATGCTTATAATTACGATTTTATAATGTTATGCAACATTCTAATACTTTTAATCATTACGATGTGTTATAGTTATTAGATTATACTCTATTGTGCTACAGATGTTGTGATTGCATAATGTTATATTAACCATGTTCAAACCCTTTATGAGCCTTGCTTAACATGGTCGAATCATGTTGAATCTCTTAGAACTCTTCATCTAAACATGTATGAAACTTCTTTGAACCTTATAGATACCTTATTCAAATAAGAACACAATTCGAATCAAGTTCAAATTAAATTAATACAAGCACTTTTTTTTTTTTACATATGGTTTCAACCTTGATCAAAGCTTATTTGAATATTATTTTAGGTGTGTTCAAACTAATTTTGATTACAACATACTAGAAAAAAAGTTGTTCAAAATAAAAAGTGGGGGTATTTCACCCGAAGAACCTTTCAAATATATTTTCTCTAGAAAATAAAAGTCAATTGAATTGTTCAAAGTCAAAAGTTGAATTCCAATTATCAATCAAACTCTTTCATTGAAATAAAATATTTTCTTTCTTTGTGAGTCATAATATTTCATTTTATTGCTGATGATATAGCCCTACCTCTTGTACAAAAATTATAGGTCTAAGTGTCACATCCCGGGTCCAAAATGCAGTACACCCCGGTAATAGGGACGCGATAAAGGGATAGAAAGACCTATTTTGCATTTATAAATATATATATATATATATATATACAAAAGTAAACAAAGGAAATGAAATAAAGAGCCAATTCATTAATAGAAGTTCAAATAACAAATAAATCAAAATAACGAGAATTTTGATACAAGCCAGCAAAAATATAAATAGAACGAAAAGCATAAAAGAAACTACCCAGCTCTTAGAAAACAAAAACATAACTAACTACTATAAAATAAATAAATATCAAAATAGTCTACTGCTAGTAACCCTGCTTCAGAGGTGGTGGTGCATCGAACACGCCTATAGGACCTGCTGAAAAAGATAACATGTGAGTTTGTAAATCAAACCTAGCAAGTAACTCTTATCTATTAAAGTATAAATGGTAAAAGAATGAGGCATGTAGTATGAACAACCAAAACAGAGCAACAGTAATATATAATCACTATATCAACAAAATTATCATGAGATATGCTATGTTTTCTACAACATCTTCTATTATGCATGTATATATGTTAATTAGCTATTGATGTCAAATTATTACAATGTTTATAAATGTATCACACTAGGTATCCTTGTACTTCACAATAACATGTATGTCATTTCTTGTTTTCAATTCATATACACTTATATTTTCTTATATTTATATATATAAATTTATTATCAGCTTATCATATATCCATACCAGAAGATAAACACCAACCCAAGGAAATCCAATAATTTCATGTAGAATCATCACTTTGGGGCCCGTCGACCTTGGCTAGCCAAAACTTAATAAGGTTGTATCGACATACTCGTAATCACATAGTGCTAATGTCGTTACAAATAATCAACAAGTGTTATGCAATTGATCAATATGACAATTACTATTTATATAATCAACATAATTTATAATAGAAGTATCATGTACTGCAATAAACAAAATTGATATGATTTGTCAAGAATATATTTATTGCATTCAAATAAGAACATGCATGAAGATACAAAATTTTATATACATGAGGTTATATAACAATAAATCAAGAATATTCTTTTTATGAAACTTTCTAATTCATTATAAGCAACAATGAAGATTTGCTACATTATGATTTTAATATGAGGCATAATAAGATCCATGAAATGCACAATACTAATAAATATTGGAAATAGAACTAACAATAAATAATTATAAAAGAATTCTAATTCAAATATCACGGATTACACCCCCTAACAAAGAATTGTAATCTTACACCAAAATTAACAACATTTACTTACCTCTAGGCAAGTGATACAAAGCCCAAAGCCCAAAAGATGCTTCATTGATCATGCCTTGAGTTTAAACTTGAAAATCCTATAAACAATATATCCTAATTTAATATTCAGGATAACAGTAAAGGTAACACATCCTTGAAACATAAAGCTTATACAAATTGATCTTAAATTGAATATCGTTAATCAATCCTAACAGATTCAAGCCAAAATAATTAAGTTGAAAGCATCCAAAATGACTCAGATTCCATAATTTATGAATTAAATTCTAATCTAGAAAGAGAGCCTACAGTCATGAACAAGTGCCACCCAAAAATATACAAAACCAATAAAGTATATTCAATTAAGATCTAAAGTCACCGATCAAATTTATATACAAGAACAAACATTAATAAAAATAGAAATAAAAACTTACTTTTGATGAATGATCTTGATCAAAAGAAAAAAAAAATGGAGGAAGACCCAACTTTGATCCAAGAGAGGAAAACTCTACCTCGCTCAAAGAGGTATAAGATGAAGAGGTCTTCTTTACTAAAAACGGCTGATATGATTGAGAGAGAAATGAAAAGGAAGTATAGGGAAGAGGTTTGGTGGCTACTATGAGAGGGAGAGAGGAAAATTTGATGCCCAATGCTTTTCTTTGCCTACTTAATGGTGTGAGAAAGAACGGGGCAAGAGAATCAAAAGGAGCGAGAAGAATCACATGATTATCACAATCGAAAAGAGAAAGAGGAAAATAAGTGTGTGTGACAGCGTCTACTAAGTTTGGTCTTGTGCAATCCATGTGAAGGGGGGAGCGGCCCGGGAGCACTCGTGAGGCTTAGATGTGTGTGGAAGAACCTAGACCAGTTCGGTCCAAATAGGTTATTACATATTAACCACCTTAAAATAATTTGGTTCACAAATTCATACCTTAGTTCTGAAATAGTTGTGGGCACTTCACGATCTTCTCTTCTTCAATCTCCCAAGTTGCTTCTCGTTCTGGCTTGTTTTTCCAAAACACTATGACAAAAGGGAATAGATCATCGACGAAGTTGTCGAACTTCAAGCTCCGAAATATGCTTTGGCATTTCTTCATAGCTCAAGTCTTCTTGAATAAACAATGGATCCAACATATCATCAATGTGAGGTAAAGGGTGCTTGTTCTTCATGGTGATCTTGCTTAGCTCTTTGTAGTCAATGCAAAGTCTCATGCTTTCATCTTTCTTCTTCACGTGCAAAACTAGTGCACCCCAAGGTAAAACACTAGGTTAGATAAATCCTTTATTAAGCAATTCATGTATATACTACACTTTCAATTCTTAAAGCTCGATCATTTACATGTGATACAGTGCCTTTGAAATTGGAGTACCTAGAACCAGATCTATAGTGAACTCGAGCTCATGATCAAGAGGTAAGCTAGGAAATCATAAGGGAATACATCTGCAAACTCTTGAACTATCAAGACACTATCTAAATTGATGCTTGGTTTGTTGGTATCCACCACATGAGCAAGATACCCAACACATCCATGATAAATCATCTTACTGGTTTTAATTGTTGTTATAAGATAAAACTCCTCCTTGCATTATTAAGGCTAAAGGACGGCACACCAAGTATATGAAAGTTTGTTTTTTTTTTTTCTCTTATGATAATTTATTATAGCATAATATATAGATAGCCAATACATTCATAATATTGCATCAAATTCAACTAGTGGAAATACAGAGTGTTATAGGCATGTGCATATTATTGATCATAATATCGCAATCATGAACACACTGTGTAACTATCATAGATATTCCAGATGACATATTAATTGATAAAATAGATTGCAATTAAGAAATTGATGCATTCAATGCAAACTTATCTATTATGAATGAATGTGATGCTAAGAATCAAATAAAATCTTTGCTAATTTCTTAAGAATAGAAATAATACTTGTCACACAATGTCTTTCTAGTGAGGATCATATCCACTAGCTTTGCATCGATGCTACCTCAAGGGCATGCATTCCAGAAGTTTTATGTTTGATGTAAAAAAATAAATAATTCTTTGATAATTTATAGAGATACTTGAAAGATATTTTTATCTCTAATAAAGTCAAGATATGCCTTCTTTTAGAAATTTTGAGGAGTTCAACTTCCTTGAGTTATTTTAGTGAGTGAATCTTCAAGTGTATTTTCATACGAGATTGTCAGAGTGTATTGTTAACAAAGTATCACTTGTACTTACACAAAAAATATGAGAGTATAATTGTTAATATAATATCTTTCTTACTTGAACTTGTTTCATTTAGGAGTTGATTGGTTGGATTCCAAATGGGTGTAAAGTATTCCAAATGCATGAGTTTTAAAAATTGTGATGTTTGGTTGAATGAAAAAAAAAATGCAAAGCAAATATAGTGTAAACCACACTAATTATTTTTTGAGGTAAACCAAACTCATCCAATTTTGAGTGAGAATGGTTTATACTGCAAGTAAGCTCGCTTGACTGCTAACAGATGTCGCCGACCACCCCCGTCGGATCCCTCCCACCAACCGCTACAGGCCACCACCGTCATCGCCATTTGTCGCAGCCACCCGCCACCCCCACCATTTGCCGGCCACCATAGTCGCTGCCGCTTACCGGTCATCACCATCTTTAAATTTCACTGCATTATTTTACTTACCAAAAAAAACTTTCACAAGAATTTACTTTATACTCATCCAAACAACTTGAAAGTATTCCTTTTACACTCCATTCATTTTATATTGCATTCTTTTTTACATTGCATTTCTTTTTTATCCAACTAAATAGCCCCTTAATATAATATGCAACACATGATTTATGATATGCATATGTTTTGATAGTTGTTTATAACTCCACTTTCAGACTTATGCCTCCCAATATCAACCTATCTGCTCACAACAAATAAATGAGACCTAACTCGACTCCTCTTATAACTTTACTTTCACTTTCATTTATAACTCCCTTGAATCTCCCACACCAGCACAAAATAGATGAGAACATAAATATAATATAATAAAATAAAGCAAAATTTGGACACACAGAATAGAACTTGCAGTATATTTTAGCATCTCCCATATCACTATCGCCATATGACATGACATGCACATGCAGAATTAACATGTTTAACATTTATAATCAACATTTAACATGAACAAACATAATTCATAAATTATCACATGTATGACATTTTAGGGGTTAACATATGTATAATCTACATAATTACTTAATAATTACCATTTGAAAAAAACATTCATAAGAAATCTTTAAAACATCATTTTAAGACTTGCTCAATTATCTTTGATGAGCATTGATGACTTAATCTGAAGTTATTTGATCTTGTATCTAATGAATAATATTTGAGTGAGAGCAATCTTTCTCTCACATCAATGAAGAGTGAAATGGTACACGGAGGAGACCTAAAAAAACACCTCATAGTATATTCTCGTGATTTATCATGTTTCAAATTAGAATCTTCTAAAGTATTCATTCTCTCTCTCTCTCTCTCTCTCTCTCTCTCTCTCTCTCTCTCTCTCTCTCTCGCAAATCCTACAAAGATGGAAGAATCCCTTAATAATTTTTCAATTGACGGTGAATTAATAAATAAAAAAGTTTGGCTAGATTATTACAAGTATAAATAGTTATACCCAGGAGAGTAAAATCATCTATGGGCTTATACCTTAAGATTTACAGCAACGACTAGCATAAGATTACATTTGAAGTATGTTGAATGTGCATAATCGTTCTATAGTGATCAATGTGCTCATAAGGATCAGAAGTTTCTTCATGTGGATGAATTACAAGCAATTTAAACCTCATTGGAATAGGATGCTAGAATTACATCAGTCATGGTAGAAAATTCTTAGAAGTTGTGATGAGAGATAAATTGATTTGTTTCCCTTAAAAGGAGTTCCTCATGAACAATGTGTAGCAACTTATCTATTATAACATCATGAGAGGCATTAATAAAGTGATAATGATTTAAGTTCATCATGAATGGTGATGTGTTAAATTGTTAATATCTAGGCAATCTTAATGAGGCCATGGTAGAGGAGGGAAATAATATAAAGAGGTACAGCCTGAATGACATCATTCACAAACTATTATTAAGTTTAAGGAGAAAGAACTCCATCATGATGTGATGGTGCTTTTTTATGTCCTTAGGGGTCTTTATTGCCTATATTGTAATATCCTTGATTGAGAGATTGGTTATTGACCAATGAAAAAATATTTTAAGTATATTGGGATTGACTTCCCACTAACATAACCAAACTATATGTGCTACGAAATTTCTGATGATAAAGTATAGGTTTATCCTTAGACAAAAATTCAATATGCACAGATAGAAATTGTAAGAGACGTTATAATTTTTTATGTGAAAACTCAAGAAGGGCAAAAACTACGTGACATGGCCAAGTTTTAATAATACACTATATAATTACATATACAATGATCAACTCTTCTCCACAATTGAAGAAGATGGGATTAAATGTAATTGAGAACAATTATATGATTCCCCTTGTAGGGATACAAAAAATGGTTATCCATAAGTGAACATTTAAAACCCAACAAGAAGGTTATATATTAATAGTCAAGTGATAATAGTTAGATGATGGAAGTCTAGTGATGACATTGATGATTACTAATAGTGGCAATCAATGATTGAATGTTGGATAATGCAATATAGTTCTTTAGATGATTTAACTCTTGACCTCCCCATCCTATAGAAATGAGACCCTATTTATAGCCTTTTTGAGAGGGGTGTTTTGTAATTTGTCTCAAATCCAAAGCATTTTATCAAACAATTCATATTGATTCCCTTGACTATATAGATTACATCCAGTATTTGAGTGTCTTAATGATGTCATAATCAAATAATCTTTGGATTGTTAGATTCATATCATCAAGACGCTTGATTTGACTATAAGCAAGCTAAAATTAGAGAATTTTATGTTCTTAATTAATGTTTAAAAGTTTTTAAATACATTTCAAGTGTTTGATTTAAATTTATTTGGATTGAGATTAGATCACTAGTGGCATTAATGGTGTTATCATGTCAATATATTATGTTCGAACATAAGTGCTAAAATCGAAGTTCAGATTGTCATAAATTTAATTCTAAAAGTTTTCATTTGAAATATTGTCTCATGATATATATAATCTCACCATCCACTTTTACATTGCTTGTGTGAGATACAAAAATGTAATTTCTAATACTAAATTAAAATGCATGATCCTCTTTCCTTGTTATCAAAACATTTTATTTTGTTTAAGATGTTAAGCTTACGACTGTTTTATATTTTATTTGAGGTAGCTTTATGACTGTTTTCTACGGCCCTAAACGGTGCCTTACATTTCATTTGAGACAGCTCCCATACTACTTTTTGAAGTAGCTTTTTGTACAAAATTTTTCTGAATTATAAAATTTTCTACTAGAAAGATACTTTAAAAAATAATAAGAAAACTATTCCAAACGCAATAGGAAAACTATTCCAAATGAATTGGTATGTCTTTAATATTTAAAAACTACCATTTAACAAAGCAAACACCCAACCTGCTACGATAATACAGAAGTAAATATCTAAACCAAATGAAAATTTACATGAATTTATGTGCACTTAAATACAACTTAAAATCTGTTGCAAACTTCATATCTAACACTTTAAAAAATTCACAGTGAAGCAACAAAAACCTCTACATCTTCTGCAACGTATTAGCATGGAATAAACTAAAAACATAAAGATTCATAGCCCACCTTCACATAAACAATGATTATTTAAAATCCTAAGACAAAGGATATAAGCTGTGTTAGAAAAAGCCTGCACAATGCCATATACACTACAAAATCATCACTGAGAAATACAAGACTAATTTATCCCTGATGTACAAAAACTGATCAGAAGAAATCTGCAGCTACAAGAGAGCTTCACAAGTGGCCTTATTATGTCCAGCAACTTTGCACCGACTGCACAACCGTACCATTGTAACCGTCTTATGGGGATTAAATCGCTTTCGCCTCGGTCGCCCGGGTGTTCGTCGAGGTGGCGGTAGATATAAGCTAGAAGCATTAAAATCTATGCCAGCAATATCAGGTATTGGATGTATTGATTCAGCATAAGTTGCATGGTAGCAATCGATTCTGAAATATCCCAAGCAAAAGTCATATACAGATCTATCGATTCGATTGAAGACGGCAATGGCGTGAGGGCATGGCAAACCAGAAATTTGCCATCTTCGGCATGAGCAAACCCAATCCCCAATGTTGACGACATATATGGTGTTGCCACGCACTTCGAAGATGGTATCAGAAGAACATAGAACATTCAGCTTGCGTGATTTTGATACCTCCTTCTGCAACTTCTGTTCCATGGAGGGTGTTAACTGACCTACCCAGGTATTAGAGATCTCTCTTCTTGATTGTATCACCTCCATCATTTTATTTTGAATTGAATCGAGTATCAGTACTATCGAAGGCTCGCATTTCACGGGTATCCAATTGGCAAATGAGTCGACAATGTTCGAAGATAAATGGTCGTATCGTCCACCTCTGAACAAAGCATCAGACCAATTCTCGGGCTTACTGGCCATGACCCAGCTAGCAACATCACTTGAAACACTCCTTATGCTCTCAATAGAAGAGTTGAAATCTTCAATAGTGCAAGCTTGGGCAGCGCGAGTGAAATCATCTGCCATTGCATCCTTTTGTTGCTGTGACCATGGCCCTCTCTTCATTTCTCCTTTAAAATCCTCAATGAGTTCATGCAAACAATAACTATGATGACTATCTGGAAACACCTGAGCTACAGCCTCATCTAAACCCTTTTGTCTATTAGAAATAAAGGTGATAGGTCTAGGCTTTGTTAAAGCACATTTTAATTGTGCCAAAAACCAAAGCCAGCTATCAAATGTTTCATCCTCCACAACAGCAAAAGCAACAGGGAAGATAGCATCATTTCCATCGACTGAAGCAGCTGCTAATAGCTTACATTGATTGTTAGACTTCAAGGGGATTCTATCAAGAAAAATAAGAGGGCGGCATCCATGCTCAAATCCATGAAGGGAAGCATGATAAGACACAAAAAGACGGCGAAATTTTGAATCCACTGATGTGTATAATATGGCCACACTACCTGGGTTTGTCTCCAGTATCCTTCCACAATACCAAGGTAGAAGGCTATATGTCTCTTTTAGATTACTAAATAACTCCTTCTGAGCAACTTCTCTTCCTCGCCATACTTGAGAGTAAGTCAAACTCACACCATAATCTTCATAAAGTTCCCTTACAATTTCCTTGGGCTTACATTGCGGTGAATCATGCAACTTTTCCTTGATAATACTTGTCAGCCATTGCCTTGTTGCTCTCCTTTGGCCATGTTTGCCATTTCCTCCCCCACAAGTGTGCACATTATTCATTTTCTTGATCACAAACTTTTGCTTGTGAGATGACTCGGAGGCATGTATCCTCCATGTGCAATTCTCTTCATTGCAGCATTTAACGGTTACACGAGTACTTTCATTCTTGATAAATTTGTAAATGAAACCTTTACTAATGGCATATTTACATAGCTGACCTCTGAAGTCCTTTACATTATCAAATTCTTGCCCCACACCAGCAATCACGTCATCCCAGAGAGTGTTAGTACTAAGAGGTCTAACATTCTCAGGGGTAACCATAGAGGTGAGAAGAGAGGCACTTGGATCAAATAACATGCTCCTTTCCCTATAACAAAAAACTTCATAAAAATTTTGCCTGGTTATAAAATAAATTCTTTTGACACAATAAAATTATGAGTGGCTACCTCTCGTCAACATTAGCCACAATAGCTAGTCCCTGCTGTCTAAAACTGTCCACGGAATCAGCACCAGGTAAACCCGGTATAGCAAAATCGGTTACAATGATCCTATTTCCAGCAGCGCACAATCAGAATCATAAGGGGAAGTAGCAAGTGTTGAAATTGTCGGAGGACAACATATATGTTTTAAAAAGGAGAAGTTTACACACACACAAAAAAAATTTATGGGTCAAGTAGTAGAAAGCTTTCCCATAATCAAACTAAGAAAATGTTTGACTCAATGTTATTGAGATGCCAATATTATTAAGATGTTAGTGTTATGAGATAAAAAAAAAAAATTATATCAGATTACTCAGTTTGACTCATGTTAATGTTGAGACGTATATGCTTATATCAAAAAACATTAACAGGATAATTCAGTTTTGTTATGATATTGATGTTGGTAGATTTGACTTATATAAAATGTCAAAAAAATTGGACATGATTGTCATTTCTAAATATGATTTGATGATATCATTGAACCAAACAGTAGATAACTTTAAATACCATGAAGTTACATTATAGATATCACTGAGCAAAATAAACCTAAATAAAAAAATAGCCCATTCAACTACAAAATTTGAGCTCCATTTTATAGGCGATTTTTATCACAAATAATCCCCAATTATTAATGTAGATCAAAAAATAAAATAATATCTGATCTGATGAATTAACTAAACAAAATAAAATCATCTAATCACACTAATCTCATTCAAGCCTAGTCCAGCCTTCCCCAGGATTATGGTAAAGTTTAAAGGGATAGCTTAGTACATTGATCCTTTTTTTTTAAATCTTTACTTACCTTATGATTAGTACCCTATCGATGAAGTGAAGTGAAGTCACTGAAGTGGACAATGACTTATAGACATATAAAAATCACATCAAGAATGATTTTGTACAAAGAAGATTTTAAATCTTGTTGTTATTTGTTCCACGTCATTTACAAGAAACAAAAATAGATAGGAAGTAAAGTATCTTCATATGAGGGTTCTTAATCTTCTAAATTAAAATTAATACAATAACAAGAAGAAAAGTAGTCAACCAATAGATGTTGAAGTCATTACAAATATGAATGAAGTAAAAATGACTAGAACTGCAAGTACTAGTGTAGTACCAAAGGCATTCAAATAAAACAAATAGCATCAAGTTCAGTAGGAAGTCTGTATTTTATGTATTGTTTATCGAGGTACTTGTGAAAAATACTGACGGACAAATGCATAGATTGTTAGCACATGTTATAATTCTAATAGGGGAAAAATCTTCTGAAGTAAACGAGTATTCATTAAAAGAAAAATATTTTAGACGGGCTTCTTTTTCAATGACTAGCACTACAAGTACTTGTGTAGTAGCCAAAGGCACTTCAATCATAAAAGAATTGCATCAAGTTCAATGTTAAGTCTTGTCTTTATTTTCTATAATGGTTATAGAGGGACTTCCAAAAATTACTGTGAGGGACCAAGGTGTAAATTATTAGCATATGTTATAATTCTAATAAGTCAAGCATCTTCTAAAATAAATGAGCATTCCTAATAGGAGGAATTTTTAGAAAATAAGATGATTATAATTAAGAATCTTGGATCAATTATAAAAGAAAATACGGTACGATGATGACATAACTTTTCTAGTTAAGTTGAGTGATTAAAATAACAAAGCAAGCATCTCAGAAGTTATAAGGCAAGAGAACAACTTCAGGTAAATTTCTTACACATCATCATCATCATCATCATCACCACCAAACCATTAACCGTATTCCCGAACCATTTGTGATAGGCTTTATAAATCTTCATTTTCCATTCATTCCTAATAAATATTACCTGAGGTGCTAAACTAGTGTTGCTTCATTTTCAACTTCTATCGATGTTAGCCTATGATGCACCGATACACCTATTTATGAAGACGTGTTGTATCAGACACATGTCGAACACGGATATGCACCTGATACGACTCGGATACATGACCAATACGACAAGGATGTATCCCATTAAAATAATATTTAATTTAAAAAAGATAAGCGTATCCTATTAAATAATGAAAATATATATATAATTGAATAAAACGATCAGCCGTACGTATTAGCCTATTCATTTCCGCGAGTATGGGGCAAGGGTTACACTTGTATTTTTCGTTTAGGCAAGCAGTTGCTGCTGAAGGAGGGTATGCGAGCAAGGAAGGCCATTTCCGCAAGCATGGGCTAGGGTTATGAGTGTATTTTTCATTTATGCAAGCAGCCGATGCCAAAGGAGGATACACAAGCAAGGAAGGTCATTTTCGCGAGAGCAGCCAACGTTTAAGGATTTTATGGCCGCGAGAGAAGCCAACGTTTAAGTATTTTTTGTTAATGCAATCAGCCAATGTCGAACGAGGGAACACAAGCAGGGAAGGATGTTTTCGCGAGCAGAGGGATAGGTTACGCGTGTATTTTTTGTTTACGCAAGCAGCCGATGCCGAAGGATTTTTTGTTTACACAAGCAGCCGACGCCAAAGGAGGGCACGCGAGCAGGGAAGGCCGTTTCCGCAAGTAGGTACGCTATCTCACCTTTACCTTTGATTGTCACTCAATTTTTATTGCAGTCGATGCCGAATAAGGTTTTAAGATTTTATTAACGATGTTTTTTTTACAAGCAACATATTTTTACTACATATTATCTTGTTATTGGTCAACTTAAGGATGGCATACTCAATTGATGAATTTCTTTGGTTAGATACTATTTTGGTAAAGGGTTAGATCTAATTAGGTTTAGATTTATTTGACATCAAATTTTTTGGAACCATTTTTGGACCAACTAAAACATATGGAGCTTTTGGAAATCAGTATATCGAGGGATTTCAACTTTAATCTATACTCAACTATGACTGTATGTTAAATTGTTACTGGTGATCTTTAGCTTGTCACAACTTCATCAATAAATTTCCATGTGATGCTGATTTGTTTATAGGTAGACTACAGAACTTTTATCTTGTATTTTACTATATCAGTTACCTATTCCTTAGGATTTGAAAATGCAAATATTATTTACTTGTTGAAATTAAGCTCCAAATAATCATGGAGGTTTTGTGAATTATTCGGATACATCTAGTTCTAACTTTTGAACCTACAATTTGTGTCAATCCTTCAATTTTTTCTTAGGAAAATGAGCTCTAGTGGAGGTGGAATTAGAGCTGGTGATGTTCATCATAGGCCACTATTGAAGATAACAAATATTTGTGGAATCATATGACAAAATTAAGAAAAACTTCTGAAGGCAGTGGCAATGTTGCATTCAAATGAAATACTATAATGCAATATATAATGTATCATACTATTGAGTGAAAGCTCATTTGTTGAAGATTGATGGTCATGAGATTAAAGTGTGACCAAAAATAAGTTCATCACAAGTGGCTGAATTGCAAAAAAAAAAGGAGTGAAGCTGAGGAGAGGAGTAGAAGATAACTTCATTAAGAGATTCCACTTTCAAGTACCCAAGCTTCATATCCTTCATCATCTTCTTCAATTCGAACGAAAGATATTACTATGAACAAATGGCCATATAATGAATGCCATTAGATCACAGTGATTGCAGGAGATGTAGGTATAATTAAAAAATTTATTATGAACCACTGTATGAAACTCTCTATGTTCAATAATTTCTCTAATTTGAAAATGCTTGTAGTTGCTGAAATACGGGTTGCCTCAATTATAGTTATGTTGAGAAGATTCAAAAAAAAATGTCCTTCAATCTATGGTGATATGTGAGAAAAGTCATGCTATCGAGATGATGAAGTTGGAAAGGCAATGTATGTGAAAGATAGGATTTTAGATTATTTATGGTGGAATGACATTGAGTGCATCTTAAGTTTCAATAATCAAATTTATAAGATGTTAAGAGTGACAGATACATATAAGTTTTATTTACATCTCATTTATGAGATTGTAGGATTCTATGTTAGCCAAGGTGGAAGAAATCATATATAGACATAAGAGAAAGACACTTCATAATTTATACTATTCTGAAAGATAGGTGGAGCAAAAATAACACACATTTACATTGCTTAGCTCACTCACTAAATCCAAGGCAAATTTCAACATTTCTTTCATTATTAATTCATAATTTCTAGATCAATAATTGTTAAAATTCCAACCATCCCTTGACCCTTGATCCCACAGCCAACATGGGGATCCGTGGGAGGCTCACATAGATCACGCTATTAAATCTCAGTCATCCCTTGGCCCTTGATCCCACAACCAGCATAGGGATCCGTAGGAGACTCACCTGGATCACACTAATATCTTACATTTAGATGGTTGATTTAGGAAGGATTATGTTAAGGTAATTATGCATGATTTTGTAGTTATTTGTTTCTTTTATTAAGACATCTTGTATAAAATTAAGCTTTTTTCCTCTCTAATTCTCTAAATTTAATATGGTATCAGAGCAAGGCATTCAGTTCTTCTTCAAAAACAAGTGAGAGAGAGGGGAAGTTGGTTCTTATATTTTGTTTCTGATCTTGCGCGTCCAGGGCAACCGAGCAAGTGAGAAGGCTTCCCCTTTGCGGTCTTTTGCATGTGGTTCTCATGCGTACCTACCTGGGGGTTGAACCTAGTGAAGAAGAGGATCAAGAGAGGGAGCGAGCAGGAACTGCGTGCGTATGTTCCTAATCGGGGATGACTGAGCCACGTGCATGTGCTGGAGCTGAACCGAGCAAGGAACGAGCGGTTGAAGAGTTGTTGTATATGACATCAAATCCTCCACTCGAAGATCCCCTCGCCCCAAATCCCGACCGCTTCTGCATGATCTTGATTCACTACCCTCAGATCTGGGAGATGTACAAGAAGGCCAAAGCCTCCTTCTGGATAGCAGAAGAAGTCAACCTTTTCCAAGATCTCTACCATTGGGATCAATCCCTCAAATCGGACAAATGTCACTTTGATGCGCACGATGGAAAAGAAGATAGATTTCTTCGTGGTAATGTAGTTCACTGCTACAGTCATGTTTGTGCTTACGGTGACTGAAGAGTTGTTTAGCACACACATGATGAAGTATGCTACTTCCATAAGTAGGGAGTCGATCGTGGATATCAAGGGCAAGGCT